ATACAGCCTTCCTAATTTTTTGTCATACATCTCACGCTTTGACCAACAACAACATACGGTGTTGATTTTCTGGTGAAAATTTTATTGTGGATCATAACAAATGTTTCAAAAAAGCACAAGAAAAAAAGTCAGCAATAGAGTCTCTTACTTACAGAGTACATAAAATACATTCTGTGAAAGCTACTAACTCTGCAGTTGAAGGCAATGCAGCTTCATTTAAACTAACCACTACTTTCAGATACATGTTGTGAAGAAAGTTTGAAAATATTCTTTTTTTTCTTAATTGGCTTTGTATTGAAATTCAGAAGTAAATAGTTCAATGATACCAATGTTGAAGAGTGTGTTACACAGAAAAGAAAATCTCATTAGTGCTAAAAGAAATAGTCACACAGAAAATATTGTCAAAATACATAAAATTAGCCTTAGTAAATATTAAATGACTCAAAACCTCTTTGGAAGATCTGTGGATGCTGAGGTATGCATAATTTTGGAATTTTGGTGCTATCGCCACTTTGCATATGACACACCAGAACAAAGTATCTTTCTTTAACCTATTTGTAACCTTCTGTAAAGGACTTCTTCAGCCTTCAATTATACTTCAGTTGTAATGAGAAAATCCACAATAATTCTTCTAGTAAAATAAAAACGTCTATTAGGTAACAGTGTAGAAAATCTTGCAAGATGTCTTCAAGGCACTGTTCTCTCTTTGGGTGCTTGACACAGGCCATTCATGAAGGCTATTTTGAGAAGACATGAATAACAAAAACTAGACCTAAAGCTAGTATCTAGTATATTAAATATCATATATATCTTTCTCTAATGAAATAAACCCCACTACTTCTAAAAGTCATTCTGCTTTACAACACTGTGCCTTGCAGCAAGGTGTCTGCTAAACTGATCTGAAACATGGATTTAAAAACATACTTTAGAAAATAACAACAAAGTCAACAAAGTAGCATTTAACTCAATCAACACAGTCTGCCTGAATGTAAACCATTCCCACGTACTGCAAACTCTGCAAAACAGAAAGGACCAAAAGCTCTGCTGTTCAATGCCACTGGTTTACATAAAGATATGCCAACCAGAAGCTTGGTCTCCAGTCAATCAAAGTAGATTAGGACCTTCTCCAGCACTCACGGGTCAACTTGAATTCCTGAACTATGTAGCTGCAAGGGCTGCTGCCCCCTGTAACAGGAAGGTATCTACTGACTAGGAAACACAAATTCGTACATGTTCTGCAGTCAGCTCATTTAATAAGAAACATGGTGTGTCTGTACTCCATCGGAAATACAGCGCAATCAAATTCTGGACTTTATGTGTGTGTCTCAGGTTAAAACATGCAAAGATTCCTTCAACATCTTTGTTCTAGGGACTGTTCTTCATGGCAACTAAATGCCGGTCAGCTGGAGTTGACCTTTTTTTTTTTTTCATTTTGCATAATCATTTTGACAACATCTTTCTGACATAGTATTAAGAATCTGTATTTCCTCTTTGAAGAAATGTTTTGTGGCATTGAGAGAGTGTGCCAGGTTCCATCCACAGGGAAAGGATGCCTATCTCCAACCACAAAATAAATCTGGACACCATATTGCCGGATGCAATGGATGGACTGGAAAACAGAGAAGCACAGAAAAACTCTTCTTTTGGCAGTTTCATAATGCCCCAGCAGCAGAAAGGTTTACTTTTTCTTTGTTACTCAAGGCAGGCTAATAATCTGCCAGGTTTTGGTGGACTCAGCTACTTGTGGTCCTTCACGTGACAGAGAACAACAGACAAGCCCATTGGTCTGGTGGATGAGATCCAAACACCACTGTAAGATCTTAAGGCAATGGCTTAGATTTATATTACCTGGCTTTAGAAACCTAGCCAAAGTGCTGAGAGATCAGAGGTTCCATCTGGGACCAGGAGAGAAACTGGCTTCTCCAGGTGACTGTTGATATATTACATGGGCTAAATCCATTGATTTGGATCTATTTCATCATTTAAAGTAATTATAAATAAACCCAGGATTGACCTAAATCTTAAACAACTTCTGTCTTAATATAAACAGCGAAGAAAACTCTGCCTTCAGCTGTACCTCAGTATACATCACCATGTGTCAAGAGTAAAAGCATCACAGGTGTCAGCAGAATTTGGTCCAGCTAACTTAACATTTCACTTCTCTAAAGGAAGGTGCTGGCCCACACTGATTGCTGAAGAGCAAACTGTCTACAGTAGTATTCTATATTTCTATAATATTCTATATTAAAGCAATAAATATTATATATAATCTGTATATTATATTTCACATTTATCTGATGACTATTTAAATCTACACTGTCAAAAAAAAAAGCAGTGACCCACTCCTACATGGCAGCATATACTATTTCTGTGAATGTGTTAAAACTATCACATGGGTCTATATTTACATAGGACATTCATGTTTATATAGCAGATTTTAATATGCATAAATTATTACCATAGGATACATAACTGTGTGAAGGTTGTATACTGTCTCAACGTTTCTATTGTTCTGCACAACTGCATTTCAGCATGAGGATTTCATCATTTGGTCTCAGTTTTATGTTTAAGGATGAAAAATGGAATCTGACAGACTTCAAAATCTCCAATGAAGTTATACTAATATAGTAGAGGAATATTTATTGTCAAGTACCAGGCAAAAACCAGTTTCGCTTCTCCTAACCCTTTTCCTCTATGTATACAAATGTCCTCTTTAAAGAAAAGTGCGCTCCTGAAAACAATGTTTAGCACTGTTGAGATGCGAAAGAGCGTTTCAGGTGAGCATGATCTGCAGAAAAACTATCATACATTTTTTAATTAACTATTGCAATTAACTACAATCTGGGTGTGCAAATTAAAAACTTGTATGTTAAAACATTAAGATAAGCTGAAATTGCTGCTGGCATATACCTGAAAAGTTCTCTCTCAGTTTGCTCAAAAAACACTTCTTTAATTCCTGTTGTTTAGCTTCTCAGATACTAAAGATATAAAGATAACATGCTCATTTTCATCAAGGTCAAAATATCCAGTTATTTCCCTCTGTAAAAGGCAAATAATTGTTATTTTCTGTACCTCCAACTTCAGAAATTCAGTTAAAAATAGAGGTAACAAAATATTGTAGTAAAGATGTTTAGAATGCTTATAGCAATCGAAGAACAATTTCTGTGTTCAGAGAACATCCAGGTGTTGTCCTTTAAATTAAATACTGACTTTCCTTTGCCAAAGTTGATATTTACTTCTCAGAAAAATAATTTCTGTAGCCTCCCAGCTGAAGCCAGTATCACCTCATTACTAAACATAGTTAGCGTTCATCAAAGACAGAGCATAATCGTTTTTCTTCCCTTTCTGCTAATGTTGGAGAAAGTAATACGTTAATAAAAAATAAAAAAGCCCTGGAAAAATAAAAAATACGCAATGCTTTATATAACAAGCAACATATAACTCTTATTGACTATTCCCGCCAGCACTGCATTTCTTCAGATGAAGAGACTGAAGAGCTGACAGATTGCTTTCCCTTTTACCTATTTGTGCCGTAACTGGATGACTATTAACAAGTCTCCTTCCTGCCCTAAGCGGTCCAAAGATTTCTCAACAGTCATCCAGTAATTTCTGCCTAAGGACTTTTATCCTTACTGTGTAATCCAGCATCCCAAGAACCTGTGGTTGCAATGGAACAGTTCCCTTAGTACCTAACACTAACACCAAGACTTCTAGCTAATTATTAATTTACCCTTCAACTTCTGCCAGTGCAGCTTTTGATGACTGATGCAGTCGCATTCAGCTTCTTCACGGTGCTTCTATCAGCTTCTTTATGGTGCTTGACATAAGTCTAAGGAAAGAGTCAACTCCCTTTTCTCTTTTGTGTCTTTGTTAAAGCTAAAAGCAAACACAAAACAGCTTATACTTGGCTATGAGATAAAAGTATTTTTATAGCCATGTAAAATCACCAAAGAACCTTACACTGTAACAGAGTCTTTGGAGACAAGAGTAGTTTTGACCAAAAAGCAGTGCTTTTGTATCTGAAATGCTACAGGAATGTTTCTAGAAAATTAATCTTATTTTTCTGTGTTGGACATTATGCAGCAAAATACATTCATCATAAAATCAATAAAAGGGACAAATTCTAAATCCTATTTACCAATAAATCTAAACTTGCAACCTGGTGCTTAAAATCTGTGTTTTAACTACTAAAAGAAAAGCAAGCCATTCTTTTACTTTCTAATGCTATTCAATAATACAAGTATTATATTGAAACTGTACTATACAGGTGTACTTTCCTGAAATGCGTACTTTGCAAAAAAAAGTGTACTTTCCTTCAAAAAAAGTGACAAGCTGCAGAGTGTGCTTATGTGAATGCTTAATAAGACATATTTAAAGCAGAGTATCACATTATAGTAAGTCTGAAGGAATGAGTAGCCACTTCAGTTTGTACCCATAAAATTCAAGACTAATAGCACTAGAAAAATAAGTTAATCAGGTTAAGTGCATAAGAAATCTCTTCTTTTTAGCTCTGATGTGAACAAGAGTATTTAACTGTTTCTCCTCATGCACATTTCTCATAGTTAGAATATAACCATTTTATGGACAGAAAATATTCTTTCCTTCCCCAGATTAGAAAAGATATATGCAAAAAAAATTAAAATAGATCCTCAGTACAGAATCTTCCTGTGATTGGCTTCAAAGGCTGATTTCAATTAAAGTTACTGAATCTTTTTTTCATTGTTGCTCCACCTACTACAAAACAGTGTGAAGACATACATTATTGAGACATTAATTCTCCCAGAATATACCCAAATACCTTCCTCCAAACCTTCTTCTTCATAAGTTATATTAGTTTTATATCTACTATGAAAATAGCAGTGCAAGAATACTCAATTAAAAATTCTTCAGATAAATGGTTTAGTTCCTTTTAGGATAAAGATGCAGAGGAATACTGATGAAAAATATGCTAGTTGTGATGCTTTCTTTGTTAACATTCCTTTATGGCCTTAATCAATTCTTCACTCCACGTTCCTGTATCTCGTAAACAAATTGTACAGCACTCTCAGTGTGGACTTCAAGTCACAATTCACAATATCTAGAAAAAAGACAAGGGGAAATCAATTAGTAACTTTGTCAGCCCAAAATATTTTTCAGAAAGAGTGCCCTCTATTCCTTTGCTCAGATCTGTATTCATGAAAACTAGAATCACAAGTATAGTAAAAAAAGAGTAGAAATGTAAAGAATGTACCATTTTTAAACTGGCAACTCAAAAATTGGTATTTCAAATGCTTAGTTAGGAATACAAATGGCTAATGATGCTGGTGTACAAACACGACCAAGTTTTAGATGCCCATGAGATAAATTGTGCCTAGGATTTCATATATTTATACGACTGAAGGTTCAGTTAGTTGTGGCTGAAAAGTAAAGAATTTGAAAAAAACATCAGGCAGGAACAACAGAACTCTTCTCTTATGTAAAAATTGCAGGATTTGGCCCATTCCAGGCTGCAACATCCCTTATTAAGCCTAATTTCAGCAAGATCACAGAATTACAGAATGTTAGGGGTTGGAAGGGACCTCGAAAGTCTAACCCCGTGCCAGAGCAGGATCACCTACAATAGGTCACACAGGAACACGTCCAGGCGGGGCTTGAATGTCTCCAGAGGAGACTCCACAACCTCCCTGGGCAGCCTCTGCCAGGGCTCTGTCACTCTCACAGTGAAAAAGCTTTTCCTAATGTTTTTTTTTTTGGCAGAACCTCCTATGTCCCAGCTTGTACCCATTGCCCCTTGCCCTCTCATTGGACATCACTGAAAAGAACCTGCAAGTTTACATTTTCTAAAGGATCTAAAGAAGCTAGGTATAACAAGTGCCCCCTGAAGACACTCTGAAAACGCTTTGGGTTAGCTGATGTACATGGCTGAATCAGTCCTTGGAAACTCAATATCTGAAATAAAAGATTTATATGAAGCAAGAAGCTAATGAACACCTTCTGTTTCAAAGAGAAGTTCTTGAGAAAGTCAATATTATTTCACAAGAAATCTATAAAACAAACTGACAAGTACTACTGTGGCAGTCTATGCTAGTGCTTCAAGGAATATTCAGTCTCAAACTAGAACCTAGAACTGCGCTCAGACAGAACAGAATAGGAACAGGAATAGTCCTATCTCTTTCTGTTGACTGCATAGGAACTTTGGGTCTTGGAACTGACCATGAAGGTGCAAAGCAGATAGCGTGCACAATCCCATTATCTTCAAAACCTCCAGATAAGCCTAGTAAAGCGTATATGTAATCATCAGACACTTTTGCCATTATCTTCATCTACATCAATGTTTCTCACGAACTGTGAAGAGGTTACACTTGAAGAACAAATCCAGTCACACCTATGTATGATGTCCCAATGTATGCAAACTTTGAAGGGCTAAAGATATCAGCTACACAGCAAACTGACATCCACAGACAAACACTCAAACCTAGATTTTATCCTGAGCCTATGCATGGTTATGAAATCATGGCCACGTGGTTTTTTGGCTCTTAATAAATCAGATCAAAAATGACTGGTATAAAATTAAGAGAAAATACCAGAAGCTACAGGGAGAGCACACTGCTCCCACAACATCAAGTTACACTCTGCAATACTGTCCGCATATAACTTGGGATGTTTCTCCTTTCGGGCCAGCAGCACGCACGGAACACCCTCCTCTCCTCATACAGAACTTCAAGTGAATAAAGAGATAACTTTGACACCTCTGTGCAAAGTTATCAGAAGATTCCACCAACACAACAGAATTCCATAGAAAGGCCCAAACCAAAAAGCAGCATGCTCCCAGAGAAAGGCAAGTTATTTCCATCGCTACATACGCTTGATCAACACGTGTAACATTTCACTCGTTGCAATCTTCAGAAAACAAAAACCTGAGTTAGGCTTTGATGTATGCATTTCAAGAAGTAATCTGAAAAAGCTCAAGCTGCAGGTTAATTTGTTATAGACTCAATAGATTAGTTTTGGCCATTTTTAAAGTAAAAGGCCACAGAAAGCTTTTTAATACCTTTTCAGCTATATTGCAAATAACCAAAATAAACTGTTGACCCCATAAAAATCATTGGGTTTTCATACTCATTTATTTAATCATATTCTTTTTTTTCCACTAAATATGTTTTTCATGTTCTGAAGCCCTTTTCAGCATATTTTTTCCTCAATAACCTCAAAGAAACAGTGTAGGAATTTAAAGAGTATTTAGTATACACATTTAGGGTAAGATCCTTTTCAAAACGCTTTTGCTTACTGGAAATTTTAAGTACAGGCATTGTGCCCAATGTAACAACACATAAAACAGATGTGTTTTTCCATTCACATTGGGCAGGAAGTTTCATATTAAGCATTTCAATAATTGCACAAGAAATGTCTTATATATGCTGAAATATCCTTATGGCTTGATTTATACTGGAAAAATTAGCTGTCCCCTAGAGCAATAAATACCTGAAAAATTAAATGCCATAAGAATTTTAAACCTCCATGGGGAGTAGGGGATCACAGATACTCTCTGTTTTACTTGGATCCCTAGATTTCACCATTTCCCCTTCTCTCTTTGACTATTTCAAACATAAAAGTTGGTGATACGGTCACCACTGATTTAGTTAAGTATGACTGTGGACAAGAGTTCAAGCAAACGAAAGAAGTAAAAAAACAGGCTGGGTAGGTCCAGATTAAATGCATCTGTAGTATGGGCTAATGCTGAGATTTAATTTTTTTGTGCATGTACACGTCTGCTGCTGTTATATCTGGAAGGTGGAAGGGATAGAAAATAAACAGAATGGAGCAGAACTTGATTTAGTGATGTGTGCCTGGATCTCCAGAGAGCCCTTACTTTTAGAAGTAAAACTCTGAGCGTTAGTCTATACCAACTCCTCAGGGAATGACAGTCCAATATTAATGGCAGAAGACTGCATGCACCATAGAATGTGCATCTGCACTGGGTCTTGAAAACACGTATTTATTGACCATTATGGTAAGTAAACAGCAGAAGCCCAGCTACCACCCCTGTTGGGCAGAGTGGAGCAGACACTGCACGTCCAGCTCCTGCATGCTACGCAGTGGTAACTCCTCATGGGAAGAACGGCAAGAGTAGCTTGTAACATGGTGAAACAAGGGCTTTACATCCAGGAAAAAACCCCCCTGTATTTATATGAGTAAAGAGGAGTGGAATCCTTGTCCTTCTAAAGTCAGCAGCAAAACCTTCACCTTCCACAAAGACACATTTTATTCAGCTTTAAATCTAATTTTAGTCTGCATGACTAGGTCCTGCTTTCAAAGGCAGTTATGTGAACATTTGAAATTCTTCCTCCAAAACACCAATCTCTTTTGTGAAAACCTTGTAAATGATACTGGAATACCTGAGGTTGAGTACATACATGTGAGATAGGGAAAAATGGAGCAATTGGAGCAATTCACATCTGCCAGTGACCCTATTCACAATAGTGACCTTTTTCTTTCAGTGAATCTCTGAGTATTACTGCACATGTTTGGTCACACAGATTTTACCCTGGCCATTCAGGAAAGGAAGATTTGCAACATCTGAAAAAGCAAATCAATCAGCCATTTGAAGCACAGAGTTACCTGAGCACTTCAAAAATCTATCTTGCCTTTCACTCTTGGATTAACATTTTAACCTCTGTGTAGCTATAACATAATTCTATGAAATAAGATGTGGATCCAATGCAAATTTTTTAGGCGATTATACAAAACAATTAGAATAGATACCTTCCGGTCTTGGCTTTGGTTTTTCCAATCCACCATCTTGCATTAGCTCAAATGCAAAAGAAACATTGAGGACCTAGTAATATAATAAAGGTATTAGTTGTTGTGAACTACATATAGTATAGCATAAATGGTCAAAAAAAAGATGTATTTAAAGCTGCAGACTCAGAAGCTTGGAAAGAAAAAATAGTCAGAGCTCTGTATATCAATGGAAGATCTAGTCCATGGAATCCTGACAGTCCATTGTTTTGTTTTTAATGTGTGGTGATGGTGGTTTAAGAAATACAAAAGTAATTGAAAAATAACATGTGAACTAATATTACCCATAGAAAAATTACTTACAAGTAAGAATGGCCCACCTCCTGCAAGTTTAAAAATTGGAACAGGATGGCCCATTAAGTGCTCTTGTCTTGAACAGACAGCTGAATTGCCTGGATAGCAACAGACACTGAGGTAATGGTTGGTCCTAAAATAATACATGCCTTGATGCTTCCAAAAACCACGAAACCTTTCAAATGTTAAATTCTTGTATTTTGGACACAAAAAAACCTAGTTCTGTCACCAATTCATGTGTATAATTCTTTATATACTTAACGAACAGTAAGTCTATTTCAGTGACAGCATCACACAATGGCTGCCAAAATCAGTTAATACTTGCTAGCCACCCCATCATTAATATAATTTTCCCTTTTATTCTATATAAGCAGTAATATAGAGATCCTAAGAATGCTTCAAAATGGTTATCAGTTAGTCCTCTCTTGGTTTCAGCTATTTACATCAAACTTAGGCAGAGAAGTCTGTGTCATCCTTATACTACTAGATATGTTTATATCTTTGTTATTAACAGAAAAATTAAATCTGATTACCTTTTGTTCAAAACTATCAGGAGTCAAGAAAAAGCTGTGCAGAGGAACAAAATAACCTTCTAGGAGACCCATTAGCAGGACTAAGTACACGCCATCTGCAAACTGTAAAAAAGACATTTCTCAGTACATTTTCTGAAGAGTAACTCATTGCTTTGCTTAACAAACAAGATATATATTGTCTAATGCAGAATCGTCAAACTACTAATAACAAGCATTTTGAATTGCAACTAAAAGACCTCACCTCACTTCTTTGATTCCTTTTATTTATCTATTATGTTCTGCTACATCTTCTCCAAAAGCAAACTAATGCTAAAATATATAAGCAGAATAAAGTTCCTGGAAAGAGAGGGGGTCAGTAGCTTTGGCCTATGTCTTTGCTCTCCATTCTACTTGCCGTGGGGAATCAGACCAGCCACCTTTCAAGCTCTCAGGTTCCTAGAGCAGGAAAAGCAGAACAAAGGTGCAATCTTGTGACTGCACTAAAACCCACTGTATTGGAGGAAACAAAGGAACAAAGAATTATCTTTGTCCACGTTCTGCAAGTTTGTGTCAATTTAATTTTAATTGTGTGTAAATACAGAGAGAAGACAGCTAATTACTATGATACATGTTTATTTCTATCTAAAAAAACCCCAGCTGTAAGATTTTGTTAAAGGCCTCTCACTCACACCCCTATGGCATAAGGTCTATCAGTGCACTGAGACACTCTCACAACCGAACTGAGTCATGTGAAGCAACTCATAACTTTCCTGAGGCAGTCAGTTTTCTTTCAGCTGATCTAAATATAATCTCGCATCTTAGGGAATACTGTTTCAGACAAATGTTTCTAGGTAAACTTCAATAATACAGGTTTTTCCAAAAGTACATAATGCAATAAGCAGGCACAGGGAACACCTTTCTGAAAGCCCTTACAATTATTTCCACTTCCATTTTTACCCTTGAAAAATCTCTATCATATTGGTGGCTATTTAAATAAATCGGAGATTCTTAATCACATAAACCAAGACATAAAATAAAGCTCACCGTGAAGACATCTGTTTGGGGTTTTTTTGATGGTGCAGATACTATCCTTCCTGCCTGACCTTGCAATTTTTCTTATGATAACTGTTCACATGGGGACGTACTAGTACAGCAGGATCAAGCTTTTCTTTCAGCTTCTTTCCAGCCAATTTAGCAGCTGAGAACAAGAAGACCATGCACCACATTATTTCTGCGGTGCAATCAAGCCTGCAGCCCAGTGGTACAGCTGCCTATACACTTGAGTAGCTTTACTCTCAAGAACGTATCTCACTGAATGGAGTCATTGTAATCCCGCGCGGCTGCACGCTCGTGTTAAAGGTAGGCAGGAAACAACTGTTCCGCTTGACGCTGGATCCAACCCCGCGGACAGCGTTCATTCCTGACCCAAACAAGCACAGGTTCTGCTTACAGCACTTGGCAGCATCCAAGAGGTAACATCTGTGGATTTTTATTCTAATTACAGTACAAAATTGTCTTAGAGAAATTTAGCTGCCTTGTGATTTTTTTGCTTAATTGGTGAGGGTCTTCTTCATAAAAATGTCTTTAGAATTGAAGATCCTGCTGAAGTAACATCTTACGGCTCACAGTGGAACGAAATTTCTGGATAGCTGGGGACATAGTGCAACTATCCCTCTCCTTTAAGAAAGGCTGTAAAAATCATACCTGGGTCTCCAGTTCAGTGACCTCCAAATTCAATTTATTCAGATGTTTGTTCACAAAGGTAATGAGAGTCTGAAATATCAAAACAACGTGGTGAAGGCCTGTTCAGTAGGGCAGCAGTTCGATGCATGCACTATGAACTCCACTCAGATGAGAATCTGCATGAGTGAAGAGACTGCAATACAATTTGTAAGTTTTAAAACTAAAATGTGGCATTAAATTTTTTTTCTGAAGAATGAAGAACATAAATAAAAATGAATGTGATGTATAGAAATAAAAACACTACTGTTAAAACTATTTTATTTTTTTTAAATAACATTTAGCAGACTATAGTGGGTATTTGGACTCCACTCAAACCCAACAACAGCCAAAATACTCTAGGTCAGATCTCTTAGCAGTTGTAAACTGGATTCCTCTTTGGCATCAGGACACTCAATCTACCAGTTGGGTTCTACTCAACATAGGCTTTGTGAGAACTTCTTTTGGATGGAAACTTTGATAACTACATGTTGTTCAATGTTCCATTAAGTTCATGCTGCTAAACAGTAATAAATAAGTAACATTATAACCATGAATTTGCATATTTTTAAGTATAAAGCTTTATTGTATTTAATGTATGCAAACTATGCCAATTACATATTATATACATACACACTCACTATGTACAAACAGATACACACAAGCATGCACATGCACACATTATTCAATTTAAAAATACAAACTTCCCAACCTTTTTCACTACATTGAGCTTGTCTGGAGCATGGTCAAATAAGGTGTCGAATGCATCCCTTTCTGAAAAATATTCCAAGATGTTAATATACCAAGCAGCAGTTGTCCAAATGCAGAATAAACACCCATTAAGGCACATATTCATTTGAGACAACACAGTCAACAGAAGGTTTCAATATTGTCTCTTTGTATTCCAAGTGCCATGTATTTTGCACACTGCTCTCTTGTTATAAGCGGCTAGCAACTTATTCTCTGTTTTTTACAAAAAGCATAATTTTCAAGTAGGATTTGGATTACCTAATACCCCTGTTTCTCCAAAACACACAAAGTATGCTATCTTTATGCATAAAACTTTCAACAGTCAGATACAGGGACCTACGTAACCAAATAACGGTCTGCAAAAGAACACAAGTTTACATCTAGTCACTACATCTACAGAGGAAGATTTTCCCCACAGGCCACTGATTGCATTGTGGTGCACTATATTATTAACCACACCAAGCAAGCCTGTGATTACACAGCTGCAATATAATCCTTTGTAGAGATGGTTTTCGGTCATTCTGATACACAATTTAGGACATTATCAGCAGGACAAGCAACCTAGGGTAGCACAACTGGAGTGTTACTGTAGTCACCTTCTGAAGAAAACATAAGAAGGAAAAAAAAAGAAAAGGCACCAGAGTCTTTTCTGGGCAATTTTCACTTCGACAATCACCTGACTGACTCTACAAAAACCTACACTCATATTCCTCGATTAAAAAAAATGTTGGAGTAGATCCAAAGGCATTTGTAGAAGGCAGACTTTGTATAAAGTAAGACTGCTCAGGGATACCATTGGGAAAAGAGGTCAAGCCTGGAGCCTTTTAAGTCAGCTGTAAGGCAACCACTGAACTAATACAAGAAGCACATGCTAAATTTTTGGTGGAACCCCACCTAAGCTCCTCAGATGAGCCAGGCATTCGTCCCATCTCAAGACTAACAGTAAGACATATTAGGCACAGGAGCTTGCATGGTGTTTAGGCCTACTAGTCTATAGTGTATCTATTTCTGTATTTGCCAGGCAACTTGAAATTTTCTACCTCCTTGCAGTTTGATCAAAGTGATCCCCCACTGCAGAACTACTGTGCACTTTGGCTACCTCAAGAAAAAGATAATAACTGAATGAACTCACCATGCCTTCCTGATAATGCCCTAGAAAAAAAGGAAAGAAAAAAAAGAACAAAACATAGTTACATATCATTCACTTGTAGACACTGTGCTGCAAAAGAAAACAGCATACGTGGCCAGATCTTCAGCCTGGTGGATACTGGAGTATATCCATGGGATTAAGAAAAGTTTCATAAAGTTACTCCAGTTGAGATTCTGGATTAGTCTGGAGTCCATCAGTATAGTATCTCCTGGCTTTACTAAAGTCTCATGGGAGACCAGATCTCAGATTTCCTACTATTGAACTAAATTAACACACCTTGCCGGAGTGAAGAAGGCTTTTTCATGTTGATTTTGTGAAAACTTCGTTAAAGACACATTTACCACACTGACTACAATACAATTCCAGCCAAAACAGTGCTTGGACTGAGTTCTTAAGGATTGCAGAGTTTTATTCTAGTTGATCCCTCATAAAACTATTGCACACACGTAAACAAATCTATAAAGGGTAATAAGTCAATAGTCTTGCTCCTCTCCATTTTGTTAGAAACTAGGATATTCTACTGTTGCTGTTATGAATTGTTTGCTAAGATGAAATGTAGAGAGGTTGCTACTTCATGTTACATCCCCAAAGTCCAAACACCTAAAAACAGTCATATCACATTCCTTTTTGATAGAATCTACTTCTTTATAAACTAAAAAACAACTTAAAAGAATGAGGCATATCTTTCTTGTTTGTATATCTTCACTCTGTGTTCCCTTTTATCCTGCTCTCTCACTTCTAGTTCCCCAAGTCTGTATTTTCTCAGCCTTTTGTATTTTTAGATACGTGTTTGCAGCTCTTGAAAAGGCTAAAATATAGTCACTGGCTGATGCATCATCTTCCCTGGAACCCCAATACCAAAATCTAAATATCAGCAAATGTTTGAATTTCTGAAACACATCTGTGTTCAATTACTGAACTGCTGGCAAAAGTGGTGTTGACATACTCAGTGTTACCAGTTATTTCCTCTTGGATTTGTCGAGACTGGAGGATTCCTTCTCGTTTCTGGAAAAAATAAAAAAGTTGTATTTTTCTCAGTAAAGTTTAATGCTTAGGCTACAGTAAAAATTTATCTGTGATCCACAAACATAATTAGATAAGAAACCTGCAAAATAAGAACTTTTTAAAAACAAACTTACTGTAATCCGTTATTTCACCTTGCAAGTATTTCAGAAAACTCTTTCGTACATTAACAAGAAACCTGAAACTCCACCTGTAGAAGGAAACATTTCTTTTCCTTTCTCCATTGTTCTCAATTCACTTTTCTTTTAAAGGTCCCAATTCAGCAAGACATTTGAATCACCTGAACACATATGTAAGTATTTTAGTAGAGGTATGTCTAGGTGAGTTAAATTAAACCTTGTGTTTCAAAGAACAGCTTGGCAGATGATGCCTATGCTTCTCTTCGAAAAAACCTTGCTTCCAAGCTCTCTGTTCTTTCTGCCCTGTGCATATATTTTCTTTTTGGCCTCAGTGTTTTCCTTTTCCAAATTTTCTCCACACAAGGAGTTCTATTTGGTTTGGAAAACTAAAATGGATGATAATCCATTCACAGCCTGCTCCAGGTCCCGGTCATCTTGGTGTTAATACATGCACCGACTCCAAGGTTCTTTAGATGCAAGCAGCCCTTCGCACAGGATGGCGAGTGGCCGGTGTCTATAAGCTGTACAACACAAAATGGCAGAAGCCAACTCAAACAGTTGCTATTCGAGTCGGCTGGGAAATGGAGTTTAAAAATCTGCTATTGTTTCCAGTATGCTGATCACAGTCATCTGGTGGCAGCATAAATATCACACACGTTTCACCCCTCTTCATGTTCTCTCTGTTAATTCTCTTCACTGGAATTACTAACATTTTGCAATATAGAAAGAAAAGTCAGGCAAATGCTGCTGACTGCATGTGAAGTCTACACATGAGGCAATTACTCATGATTCCTCACTCCCTGTCACACAAGGAAATGAGAAAAATACATTTACGCTGGTCCTAGACATGCCTTCTACATGGGAAAGAGAAAAGGAGAAGGATCTTTTGGAAGAAACCCTCATGGCATGTGAACCAGGCCTGCTGCTCTTCCGTGCCCTGGAGAAAACAGCACATCCCTACCTCAGGCAATCTGTGGTGTATGAGATGCTGCGAATTTGGCTGGACTTGAGCCTGTTTCTTCTACACTCCATTACTAAAATATATAAGGATCAAACTTGCTTTCTGCAAGAACACCACACATGACATCCTCTGGATCACTCCAGACTGGCACTGGAGTAATCGGAACCGTCCTTTTAGCCAGTGACAATTTCAGGGGGTTTCCACTATATTTCTTTAAGCCCTGTTAGTAAGTGTCTTGCACATGGTTAAAAATGCATTTGGGGGACTTGGAACATTAAAAAGCCAGAGCAGAGCCCAGTGTGTTATACACTGAAAAAGGGGGTACAGAACAGCTGCCAAGATATTTTTTGTCCCATGCTTTGAAAGCCGAAAGAAAAAACTACATCATTTAGGGCCACCTTCACTCCCAGCTTGGGCAGGCAGCAAGAAGGACTTGAAGCTACACTCTAGCTCCTGCTAGTTCAAGTTAGAATTCCACTCTGTTCGGGATTTTTGGTTTTTTTTACCTTTGCTGCAGAGTGAAAGGAGACTTTTACTTCCTTCTCATGATGACTCTGACATGCCAGTGACGCCTTCTGGAGCAAAAGCCCTATCACTCCTGTTTCCTAGAGGAGCTGAGCATCACAGTGACAGCAACTGTACTTCACAGTGCCCAGTCCAGTGATATGGGAGAATTAAAGGGCTTCCAATACTCTACACCTCCCGCCTGCAAACATACAAGCCCAGCCTAAAAGATACTCCAGTACTGATATAAAACATACTTCCCTTTTTGACAAATAGGAACTAATATAAAAAGGAATTCTGCTCCTTAATCCTACTGTTGATAAAACAAAACCAAAAAAAAACAACCAACCCCCACCAAAAAGAAGACATCAAGCCTTAGTTTTCTGTCTGGCATCTGATCACTAACATTAACGTCACTTCCCAAACACAACATGCACTCATTGGACACTCTCTTCGTATCAGTCATATGTCAGCAGCTTTATGTAATAGAGGGCCAACTGCTTAATTTCCAACATAAAGTCTCACTCTGAAAACCTTCCCACCATTCGAATGGGTTTTGCCTATGTATTGTTGCTATCTATTTCATCTAGAGATTCACGTTTGCCCCACCAAAATGAAATGCAGAACTATTCTGGAGCTTGAAAGGACAAGCATATTTGTCACAGGTTCAAATAATGACCTGGAGGCAATGCTCCTTGGAAACATTACAGACCTTCCCAAGCAAGCAGTGGGACCAAGGATCTCAGATTAAGCTTGTGACACACACCTTCTTCTAATTTCATTCATTTCCTCGCTCTGCATAACTGTAGTTTATGCACACAGAGCTGCTGCCCAAGTGCTCCAAACACACTGAACCCATTCTGGTCGCTCTGCCAATGCATTCTTATTCTCTCCAACTTCTCTTGCACACAGGCAGTTTGTCACTCTTTCATGGATGGCTTAAACAAATAATTTTTTAAAAGATGCAAAATGATGGCAAGATCCAGTTCCCTGCAAGAGCTCTCACTTGTTTCAGTAGAAATTATCAAACAAAGCCTAGGTTTTATTCAAAGTTATTCATTCTATTATTACGGAAGGAAAAGAAAATAACAAAACAGCTACAAAAGGTCCAACTATCACATTTTTTCCCAAATCAGCTTATAACCCAAATTTCCTATTGCTCTCATTGCTAACAGCTTTTGTAAAAAACAACCAAAGGAAATAAGTTTGTAAGAACCATGCTGATTAGCTCTTGGGCATGAGCACATTCTTTCTCTCCTTTTCCCATTATCATACTGTATAGAGTAGCATTTAAAACCAGCTACCACAGTCTGCTAAGCTTCCCTAGGCTTGACCTTACTTGACAGAATGTATGTGGGTTTAGCAAATGAGCTGTGCAAGTTAGAACACTAAATTGGGCTTTAGGATCTGCTGACTGTTGATTAAAAACTTTCACTGAGTTCAAAGGGTATGTGATGAATTATATAGAACCAATCTCACAGGACATGAAAGATAGATATAAAAAATATAAAAAAACCCCTCACCCGCCATAAAATAAAAATGAAAAATGTCTGAAACACAATTACAGCAAGAATACCGGCCCCCACCCTCTGCTAATAAGACTCAGCACAGCCTTGGAGTTCCACTGATTGGCTTTCACCAAGGACTAGGTCTGCAGGACAAAGTCTTCTGCAGCATTACTTGGATTTTATTGCAGTGCAATTGCTTTCTCTGCAAGTCATTGGTGCATGAGCTACAGCCATGTAGCTAAGAGGCAAAGCAGGGAACCAGATTCTCCCACTACTTATTGTTTGTAAATTGGTTTATCTGTACTGACTTCAGTGGATTTGCTGTTGAACTACATTAGCCTATTAAACAAGAGGACAATTACATCCATTGATTTCAAAAGACATATGGAGTGGCAGCAGAAGGCTGTTTATTTCAGGCCTGTGCTCTTTTTCTGGTTTAGTTCTCATCCCAAAGATGTCCTGACCACTGCACTCCTGATTTCTTACACTGTGTTTGGTAGAGATTTGAGATAAACCAGCATAATGAATGTATCTATAATAGCCAAGGGCAAGTGCTTGAAAACTATGTTCCTCTGAAGCCTTAGACATGTAAATGTGGATTTGCTGGGGTTCTCTTCCATTGTCTGTAGAGAAATCCATGAAGCAGAATCCAAGAATCGGTGAGTCGCTATCAGGTGTCAGTGATACAACTACCAGAGACTCTCCTTCAGATCTCTCCCCAAGTTACAAAATTTGTCTGATTTGAATGTTGGGAAAATGAGTGGTTACTTTCTTAGATCTATCCCACAGATTTTCAGTCACTTCAGCAATAGCTCTTTGCACTAGATATTTTAGGGTAACATCAGTTAAAACACATAAATAAAGACAGTTGCAGTGTGAAAAATACAGGCAAAGTTAACTAGAGAGAAATAAAAGCAGATTAAATAAGAGGTCAAATAGACAGACCAAGCACAAGTGCAACTGCAAGAAAAATGGTGAACAGAATAACAGGAAGAGCTTGGATGGATGAGGCTCTATTAAGGAGACTGACTGACACAAAAGATTCAGTTGATGGGTTTTTTTGCATGCTTATGAGAAAGCCAGCACTGTAATCAGACTAAATTAGCATGCACAAGGCTGAAGAAGAATATTTAGTCACCTAACATGAATCTGAATGTAATAAACAGTGACAATTCATCATTCAGTGCCAAGAATGATTTGAATCTCTACACAAGTGAGAAGATTGTCAAAAGTGGGAAAAATAATAATTCTAGAGATCATATTGGGTGATAAACACATTCCAACAACAATAATGCTTCATATATTTTTAATGTCAGAGTCTGGCCAATTCACAATCAAAATAAGATATTCTGAGCCACAGCTCAATCTGGGAAAGCACTTCTGCCTTTTCGTGGTTGAAGCATTATCAGCAGGGAAGACACAAGTATGTTTTCCTGTCAGCCAAAGAGACACACGCATGCTCAACCAAACAGAAACTCTCTATATTTTTCAAGAAACCCCTCAGCCAGTTTCACAGCACTTCCAGGAGCTGTTCGGCAGCTCTCTTACCTGCACAACAACCACCTGAATGGACACGTGATCTGGGAGTCTGATCGGTGCTCGAAAATACTGTGATAACGCAACCAGAAGATGCAGTATTGCTACGAGACTTTTAGCATGAACAGCTGAAATAGATATTAAAAGCACAAGTTACAAACTGCAAAGTGACGAGGGCACATATTTTTGCTTTTCAGGATGTAAGGATTATAGAACTCTTTTCCCCTTGCCACCTGGAGCTAGGAGGCACCTTGCCTTTACCAGCCTCCCCTTGCTCAACACGAATACGTGTCAGCACCAAAACGCTACTTTTTGCAGCATGTCTGGATGCCATAGGCTTGTGTAGATGGAAATCTAAAGCTAATCCAAGAGCCAGATTTCATGTTCGGCAGTTTAAGTGCTCTCTCTGCATTCTTCTTGCCTTTCCTTTATTCCCTTGATTTCAGTAAGGATTTATAGACTATCAGAAAGATATTTTTGTACTTGTAGCATACACTTACTCATTTTTAAGTGTCACAATGTCTGCAGGATGATAAACGAGCCTATTTTGGCAGAAGCCTTAAGCAATAACTTACTAAACTGAATGACTCAAACATTCCTCATGAAGTTGTTACAGTTCTTGTTATTGAAGCTTTTTCTCAGCAGGTTTCATATGGGTAGTTAACACTAACATGACTTAAAAGATATCAAAAACCATACTGTAGGAAATCCTTAACCAAGTATCAAATCATTGTCATGAAAGTGAATAATTTCTAATTCTTATTATTGTCCTTCTTCGTCTATTTTGTTTTTGCATTTACAATCTTCCCCAGAGTAGTATTCCTAAAGGATCTTTGACAGCTACAGTATAGTGCACTTCACATTTTTTTGTACTTGAACTAACTAGTAACTACCACCTTACAGGATCAGATTCACCAAAATACCCTTCTTCATAATCTTCCAATGTAATTCTCAACTATGTCATGGAGACACTAATTCATATAAAATGTGGCATCACTGTCAAATGTTGCTGGGGTGCCAGTGGTCACGGATGAGGTCCTTTAGCAGAACACTAAAAAGATTTCTGCCTGCCTAGCAGCAGTGTGTGCTACAGCTGCCTCCAGCTGCTGCTGTCTATCTCTACTTTAGCTCTAAACCACATGTAAAATATTAAATTAAAACTAGAAGTTAAATTGTCAGACCACTCCAAACACCTTGCCTCCAGCTGCCTAAGACAGAATGGAAAAAAAATGGGGTAAGGTTGAAGAGAGATGAGGACAGAAAACTCAGCTGGACCACATGAAGTGGAAAGTCAGAGATGCCCAATGTTCTCTCTTTCTCCCCTGAGCCATTTCTCTCCCTCCCACTAATTTGGTGCGAATGGAACAGGATACAGAACAGCTCAGCTCAAGACAGGTATAGGACACAGGGAAACTTATATACTAGTTAGGATATTCACCAGTGTGAAACGATTCTGGATACCACACTGAGAATAAGAAGCCAAATTTTCTAAAACTGGTGATAACGTGCTTTCACACATATGCACTAAAATGTCTTGTGCTGGGCCACTGAGGGCACTTCTATTAGACATTACTGTATTAATGTTTAACACAATATAACAGGAAGGGTACAGTCCTCGTTTTGATGAGAGTTTTGTAATCAAAATCAGTGGCTCCGATTTAGCTTTAAACAATCAGAAGCAGTATTCATTTCTACGTTGCACATGTTACACAAAGAGTCCTAGGACCTAACTCTCCTTATGTCTATCCACTACATTTATGCAAGCACTTGCCCATTTCAACAAACTGATTTAGAAACAGAAAACTTAAGCTGGTATGCATATGGACTTAAGAGCAGAAATACGAGACTTTGACAGACTCTGAAAAGAGTTTATTTAAATTGAAAGTTGAGCACCAATAAAAAGGGTGGAGCGTACCACATCTGGAAGTGCCCTGCAGAGCAGCTCCTACCATAAATACCAGGTTTCAGCCTTCCCTTATCCTGGGATATTTCAGAATTCCAGATAGCAACTATAAACTCTCAGCTGTCAACAAATAGGAACAGCATAGGAAACACACAACTTACAGTCAACATTCCATTTAATGCTTCTTGGAGGGAGTTTAAGGGTTTCGTTGATCTTTTCAAGTACTGTCTGTAGCTTCTGTTTCTGAGCAATTTCAGACTGAGTAACTTCAGCAACATTCAGCTTCTCACTTTCAAGTTTCTCTGAAGTGATAAAAGAAGTAAAAAATAGAAGAAAAAACATTTTCAATTCCACAAAGAACACAAAGACACTCCATGCACCCAGATGTATATTCAAGAGATATTAGACTTCATAGTCTAATTATCTGGTTTTCTTATGAGAGCCACCTTCCCTCACGCTTTTGAGCTCCTAAAGATAGAGCTTGCATTTTCCCTTTATTTATCCATTGCCAAGGGGAAGGCCAAATATTAAATGAAAGTCCCTCTCCTGACTAGCAAGCATGTGCTGCAACTCCCTTTAGGGAACACCCGACTCAAAGGTAAGATCCATTGCTTCTATTACTACTGCTCAAAGGGCATTCTGTATGCAAGTAACTTGTACAGCAGACTATTACATCTAGGAAACAAATTCCAACTTTAAGATTTCTTTCATTAGTCTCAGCCTCCCGGCTTCTCCCTCAGACTCAGGAGATGTACAAATTTTACTTGGCCCATTTGTGATAAAAGTGGCGTGACACCATAGTCACAGGGGTGGAGGATGCACCCAAGAAAAGTGAGTAAGTATTTCTAGAGGCATGAAAACAAGTAAAATATTGAGCAATTTCTTTCTGTGAAACCACAGCCCTTTTCTGTAATCAAAATTTGCAGTAGATTTTAAAATACTTTATGAATCAGCTTTGTAATAATTAGTGCAGATTGCCAGGTATATACATACATGGCTTAGTGCTTGCCATTAAATAGCAAGCACAGAAAATTTAGCAGTAAAAGCTCCCTGATAAGACCAGAAAAAAAATGCCTGGTCACCTACTTCTATGAAAGTGTATCTTATTAAGAGATAATCATATTTGGTAAGAGCTGATCTTGTTCTCACCAAGGCCAACTGAGTATCTTCTCAAATAGACTGAGTCTGGCTACCAGCATATAAATCCTGCCTAAGAGACTGCTATCTCCACAGCTTTCTTGTGCCTCCACAGAAAACGGGCTGTGCAGAGTCTTACAACAAGACCAAAGTCTTTAGTTAGCATAGACCTGATCCACAAGTAAATAGGGTAATGAAAAAGATTCCACTGAAATCAGTAAGTACCGGATCAGTACATATGCATATTTAGAGCCAGGCTGTATCTGATACGCATTTCTCGGGTTTGGGATGGAGTCACTGGAGGTATGCCGGAGAATCACATTGCTCAGGATGGGGCAACTCCAGTCTGTCACAATATATTCAATAGCTTAATCAGTCATAGAAGGGAATAGTTTGTGTAGTCTTTACTAGAAGTGCTCACATGATGTCTCAAGATTCATTTAAGATATTGAAAAGAAATTTACTGCAGACTTTATGAGCTGCAATAACTAAGAAAATGGCTTCCAAGCCAACAGCTAAAAAAGCACATGCCAGCTCTGCATTACCAGTTTCTTTATCTGTTTCTCAGCTGAAGCTCGGTTTGCAGTCCACTGGGTACCATTACCTCAGCAACATTTAAAAGCCAGACATCCCTTCAGAAAGAAATTCCAACTTTCCAGAGGAACTTTGCGATCTGAATGAACTATAGTATGGAACCAGCAGAGATTAAAAACATCCACCACTGTACTGAAAATACCCTTGTCTTCAAACTTACTTTCCACTTGCAACACGGTTCAGTTTGTACAGCACATATGCAGATAATAAATTTAATTGGAGCAAACACTGCTGCCAAGCCAAGAACCCTCCCTCTCTAGCACCCCAGGTAGGCTTTATGCTGTTCTCATCAACTACAGAGCACCACACACTGCACTGTAGCTGTAAGGACTGTACATACAGCCTATTGCTCAAGGGTCTCATAATACAATGCTATTTTTGTATCACTTAGTGGCATAAATGTAAGATGATACCAAGGCTCCTAAATAGGAACAAGTGATCCACTTACTGACAAAACGCCCAAACAGCACGCACATATATTTTTTTCCTACCGAATAATTTCTGCAATACTTGTCCATCATACAGGTCTTCAGCCAAGTCTTTCACAATAATCCTTTCTCCTACCAACACATCATTAATCCAGTCAATTAATACCTATATGGGAAACACAAATTTGGCAGTATTATACACTATTCATTTGCAATTTAAAACACATGCCATTTTGTACAATGATGAAAATATGTAGCAGAAAGAATACGAAAGCTGCAATGGCTCAAAATACATTCAGTCTAGAACATCATCAGAAGCAATTAGGAAAGACTTAGGAAGGACTCTTAAGTGGCTGTGTCAATGTAGTATACCAGATTGATGTAGTGCCCTCTGAAATGAAATCTCTCCTTTGCTTTTAGTAGTATTTTAACATTTCATTGTGAAGCAAAAGGTGGTGAAGTTGATTCTAACGAAGCTCCTGCTAAAGTTCAAGCATCAAGAACTGAAAAGACTATGAGGGAAGTCAGTGTGATCTTAGACTGAAGGCAGGGTGGGACTAAGAATCTGGACTCAGGATTTTAATTCAAATTCTTAAGTTTCTCTGTGCCATATATAGAGAAATATACTGCAACAAATCACCTGCCCATTGCACCAGGATGTACTCACCAGGTGATTTCATTTAATTAATATGTAAACAGTAAACACAGTTCACACGAAAGAAGCAGAAACAGCATTAAAAAATAGTTTTGCTTTCCTGAAAGTGTTTACATGCTTTTTGTTACCTTCATTAGTTCTTGTAATTTTGGGTCATTTCTTGAATTTGGATCAATCATTGTTCGGACTTCATTTTCCTCTGAGAAGTTTTTTTAAAAAAAAGACATTAGAAACTATTAGAGGCATGACACTTTATTTTACATCAAGCTTTTATGTTGAGATGTAAAATTGTTGTGAATTACCTAGCATAGTGTCCTCAGGGTCTAGTTCGAATGGAATTGGACTGAGAGGTAAGTTAATGGCATTCATTCCTTCTTCCTGTAATTCAGATACTGGGAAATAAAAAAGAAGAGCTTGGTCAAATTTCAATTCCATTTTACTTACTATTCCACTCTCGCTAAAAGTAGCATTATTTGTCTTAATTTCTTTATGAGAACATGACTCTATTAGATAAGCCACTAGGTGCAATCACAGCAATAAAACATAGTGAACAAAAATGGGAGGCCCAACCAACACACCTTTACCTGCATGAGTAGATTTTTCCTGGATAATGATGCTGGAATCAATGCAATTTCCTCAAATCTTTTCCAGGATAAGGCCCATTGTCCTCAAGCTTTAAAAGGCTCTCTTGCATTTTAATGGTCCTTACATTTTAACACTAACGAATCATTCTAGCTGAGGCGAATCATTATTGCCCTCAGCTATGTCACCCTGGCTCTGGGGATGCCTCAAGTTTAGCTACTTGAGAAAAGCTGCATCTGGCTCTGTACCCACACAGGAGCTGCCAAGATCGGTTAACGACTTAGGACTGGAGGCACAGCTGCAGCAAGTGGCCACCTCTGCTGTTCCGGTCAGGGACCAGCTAGAAGAGACTGTGGGATGCTTCTGGCCTGTGTCCTTGGCCTTTCTTTAGCAGAAAACACAGCAGCAGGACAGAGGTGTACGATGATGAACCTTCAAAAGTACTGCTGGAGCGTAGAGTCCAGACATAGGTCGAGAAAGAACTTGGCCACGTGAATGGCTAAACAATCCCAGATCCCATAGTTTGGAGACGCCCACAGCTGTCAGGAAATACGCACAAGCTCTTACTCAGCCAAAGCTCCCTAATGCTGCAATCATCGATGTTGTTGTAACACATGCTCTGAGAACCCAGGAACAAACAGAAGGGGAAAAGCAGTCCTGACACTTGTTCTGTACCTGGTACAGCTCAACTTCACTCATTCCTCTGGGTGACCCAAACTCTAAGTGGTTGCAAAGACAAAACCTTCCCTTCACTGCCCAAACACGCCTCCATAACAGAAGACAATAAATACAATCAGCCAATATACTAATCCTACCGCTATGGAAGAACCCACAGCACTGCGCAGGGAGAGCATCTTGGTGATAAGACAAATATGTGTTATGCTTTGTAACCACGAAATTGGTGCAAACTTGATTTACCAAACCAGGAAAGCGCCTCACTTTCTTATGAGTGACAAGTAGTGAATGTTGTTTTGACCACCCATTTGCCAGTGGACAGACCTCTAGTAGAACTGCTCGCTAGCAGAATTATTCCAGCCAGAGTCTAAACTTAAGTAACTTAATTCAACCATCCTACATGTGTCCTAAAGATTTAGGTAGCTGTATACACCTTCTGACGAGAACTAAAATATATGATATATGCGCAGATGTAGATTTACCAGCAAGCATTTCAGATTTACTACCTGAAGCTTTCCTCAGAAACAATTTAGGTTTGGAGAAAACAGAAAAGTAGAAAGTGACAGTAGAGCTCTCGTGTTCTGTTTCTGGCTCGTAAGTGTGCTTTTGGAAAACAGTTTTACCTCCCCGCCTTAACCTCCTGTGCACAGTAAGTACAGCTAATTTTCACATGAACACTGTGGTAATTAGTCATTTGGTGCGATAACAGACTGAAAAGTTTCTACGCTTTGTGAAATGTTTTTTGCTCTGCCAGATGAAATGCCTGTGCACGTTTCAAGAGCCTGTGCAGCTGTCTTCAGGCATCCATCTAAGACTCACAGCAATAACGGCTGTTAGAATGCTTATGACTCTTAATTGTATTAAAATAAGTTTGAAAAATCCGCTACATTCAATATAGAAACACTAACTTCACTCCTGCTTGTGTATCTGTAAAACACAAATACTGAGCAGCTCTACAGAATCATAAAACAATGCTGACAATAATAGCTCCCTCGATTGTTGTATATTCTCTAAAACTGATGGCTGACAGCAATGGACCAAATTAATCCCTCATGTAACTCCACTGAGTTCTGAGGAGTTATAGCAAGGATGAATATGGTCTGCCATGTAAAATCTCAGGAATTGTTTACACTTAATGGCAATTTTTTGAACTGCTAGCATTCCTTAAGGAAAATCATTGTTGGTTTTATTAATCTCTTTGATTTTTTGGTCTTTTTTCATTTTGGTTCAAAATGGTTATTGTCTTAAGAGTAACATCAGTGGATAGAAAACTTCCATGTGGAGGTCTTTCTATTCAGAAATGTTTAGCTCACAGACAACTTCCACACAAAGGTTCCTAGGCAGAAAACACTTTTTTTCACATCAATCCCAGGAGGGAACATAGTAAATAAAATCTGTTCAAGTCAACTGGCTCCACTGAGCTCTCCTGTTCTGAAGGGCTGCATGCTCTGCTTGGGCAAGACACACTGGAGGAAGCAGGCAGCTCATTTTCCTGGTGAGGGACAGTGGGGAAAGCTTTTTGTTCCTCTCTCCAGAGAGTGACCCACTGGCTGAGCTCTCTGACACTTCTCCAGGGATAGTGAGTGGACCTTTCAAGGCTGAATGTTTTGCAAGGCATTATTTACAAGGACCACTGAACTGCCCCATATTTGTCCTCCAACATGCACAACTATTACAGTCTACTTTTTATAAAATGACCATCATATTATCAAGAGTTTCTCAAAAAAAGAGAAAGCAAACACAACCCCATTATATCTTTGCATGGAAAGGGAATATAAAAAACAACTGAAATAAATATACACGAGAAACTAATACATTGATCTGTTCTAGAATGCATTGCAAGTGTTATATTTACCATACAACAGGGGCTAAGGACTGCTCTGCTGCACGCAGGTGTACACAAGCAGAGCTCCTGTTCCCCCAAGCAGTTCGCCCGAGTCACACATGGTTCTCACGCCTGCCTGAGTCACATGCAGAACCTACCCAGCACACTCCAGATGATCCAAAGATCCCAGACGGATCCAGTTTGCCGGAAAGGACAGCTCCTCCTCGGCCACTGCACTCTGCAGCGCAGAGCATATGCCCAAGGCTGGCACTAGTCCCGTAATAAAGATCCCTCCTGCTCTCCTGTCCCCTAGAGGCAGAAAACATGATGTAGAAACTCTGAGCCCAGTAGCATCTTTTTCACTTCTTTCCCAACACAGATGAGAAAATACTTAACTACAGGTTAATAATACTACTAAAGGGAGTAGGTAAGAACACATGTGCTGTATCAAGTTGTAAGTAAAGGGAGGGAAAATGTATTATGTAGTACAGCCTCACTTTCTAAGAATTTCCATCAAAAAAGTTCCATGATAAACCACTATTATACTCTTAGGTGTTTATAGAGGAACCACAAAAATGCAACTGAGGTTAAGAGTTTGCATACCACAGTTTCAGAAGAGGAATACATTTTTCAGCTGGTTCTCATTCATTTTAATTAATTTTCATGAAAATCACTTCAGCAATTTAGTATTTTAAATAAAAACAAAGCACAAAGGTTTGGGACAATTTTTGCAGCAGCTGAAATTAGAATAAAACCATCTAATTTCTTGAAAGACTTTGAGAAATGACTTTGAGCATTAGGAAGACCTCCACTCCGAGTCTTCCAGTGTAAAGGCTCAGGAAGGGAAGAAGGGATCCCGCTGCAGCAGCTCATCTATCCCACACCAGCTGCCAAGATCCACAGCAGGGCACTGGGACCTGCGACAGTTCCTCTCAAGGGCAGCATCCACGGAGTTGTCTGCTTGACATCAAGCGTGCTGGGCCACTAGACAACCCAGCAATTAAAAGTTAAGAACTCCATTCTCATCCTCTGCTGCAGCCCAGTTACAGCCCAGTGCATCAGCTACCATGGGGCTTGTTCTTGTTGTGCTCATATTGGCACAATTTGGGACTTTATCCTCTTGGATGCGAGAGGAAAATGCAGTCCTTTGCGGGTTATTTTACAGGCACCATTACAGGTGGAACTGGGGGTTGAATATACTTTTAAAGCGAGATCTTCAAAAACAACAGAGCTATGCACAGGCCACAAAAATCTCTGTGGATTGGCAACATGAAAGTCCTAGTTTTAACTCTGGATAAGGAAGGGACACTTCTGCTCAGACTTCTGATTCAGCTCCATGTGCCAGATTTGTTATGATGTAATCAAGCGCAACTCCACTGCTATCAGCTGTCAACAGACTTCCTCCTGTCATGCCAGCACCAAATTTGGCCCCAGAACTGGGGAGCCCACAAGCTTATATCAACAGCAACTACAGCAGCTATTTTAGGCTGGACAGAATTCTTACTGGTTTAGATGCTCTAGGATTACAAGGTCATAAACCTATGCTATCAAATCCACGCGGGAGCTCTGAGCCAGACTTTGTCCTTTGATGCGTGCATCCAACTGCCATCGAAACCGTTGGACGCCGAGCACATCTGAAAGTGGAGTACTGCCCATACGGTTTAAATTGGCTTAATTCCTCTAGTACATGCAGCCTGTTGCTCCACATTGTATTTATTAGACAGTTTCATTTGGTTTTTTTACTTGTTTATTTTGTGTGCTGAAGGCTTTTTGCTGCCCTGTTTAGTATTCAGGGCTTAATGCTATTCTGATCTGAATAAAATACATCTTATTATTTAACCGAGCTCAGAAATGCCACATCACCCAATGCACTCTCTGTGGTTTAGACGTTTTTTAGCATATCTATCCAAAGAATCATAAAATAAATACAGCAAGATGTAGTGTTAAATGGTCTCTCCTCTGAGTGCTACAGACATGTCTTGCCATATAATTGATTCTGTACTTACAAAACTAAAATTACTCAAGTTCTACAATACCAACGGATCGATTCTAAATGTTTGTGATTAACTAGAACTAAATCTTAATGTTGGAGGAGCACAGTGACACAATGCTTCTAACGTCAGCCTTTCAGAGCCAGATGTAAATATATGCATACACACCTACACAGAGAGATGCATCCACACTTCTGCAGTTCTTTAACTGCCTTTCATTCTTTAACATAAGGGGTTTCCATTCAAGGTCTTCTCTGCCATTTTTAAGGTTGTAATTATTTTTGTCCTGGTTTTTTTGGTGTTTTTTTTTGTGTG